CAAAACCCCGGACCTGCCGGTTGGCACCTGGAAACGTCAGGGGGTGGGGGGGGAGATTCCGCACACGGAGCGTGGGACGGTAACTTAATCCTGTCCGCAGCTTCTCGAGCATCCGGGACTGACCGGGAGCTGGGCGTGGTGCACGTGGTCGCTGCCAAGTCCCCGAGATGGTGGCACAAGTGAGTGTCACTGAGGTCCGAGCGGCAGGCCAGGACGAGAAGGGACGGCCCTTCTGGCCCCAGGCTGGCCCGCCCCGAGCGGGGGATTGCAACCACCTGGATGATCCCTGCGGCCGTCCAGAGCGCTCCCCATCGAGGAGGAGCAGTGGGCGAGAGGCACGAACAGTCGTCGGTTCCTTAAGAGAATTCCAGCTCTGAGGGCCGCCTGGGTGGCTCAGTCGGTTGGGCGTCCGACTCTTGGTTTCGGCTCAGGTCGTGATCTCACGGTTTCATGAGTTCAGGTCCCGCGACAGGCTCTGAGCTGGTGGCGGGGAGCCTGCTTGGGATTCCCTCTCTCCCCTTCTCTCTCTGCCCCTCCACCACTCACAATGTTGTTGTCTCTCTCAAAATAGATGAGGGAGGAAGGAAGGAAGGGAGAAAGAAAGAAAAGAAAAAGGAGAAGCAAAGAGAAAAAGAAAGAAAAGAAAAAGAGAAGAAAAAGAGAAGAAAAGAAAAAAGAGAAGCAAAGAAAAGAAAGAAGAAAAAAGAAGAGAAAAGAAAGAAAAAAGAAAAGAAAAAAGAAAAGAAAAAAAAGAAGAGAAAGAAAAAAGAAAAGAAACAAAGAAAAAAAAAGAAAAGAGAAGAAAAAAGAGACAAAGAAAAAGAAAAGAAAGAAAAAAGAGAAGAAAAGAAAGAAGAAAAAAGAAAAGAGAAGAAAAATAGAAAAGAGAAGAAAAGAAAAAAAGAAAGAAAAAGAAGAAAGAAAGAAAGGAAAAAAGAGAAGAGAAGAGAAAAGAAAAAAGAAAATTCTAGTTCTGAGAGGTTGGAATTTGGTGGGGGGGGTGGGGGGAGTGGCAAGTAAAAACCCCAGGACCTCAGGACCTGACCCTTGTCGGGACAAAAGGCCTGAGCTTCCTGCCTCTCCAGCTCTCGGCCCAGCCAGTCAGCTCCCTAAGAACCTAAGTCCCCCTGCTGTCCCCTCAGAGTCTGTTTCATCCCCCAGGTGAACCACAGCCTCCATCACTCATCCAGACGTAACCCCCTCTCATTTCCTCAGCTGGG